GAGGTCGACTGGATCTGTTGCACTGACCTTGGCTCCCCCGCGCTATCGACCCAGTGTCCCTCAACACCCACTCAGTCCCCTCGGACTTTGGCGCCCACCCAGGTCAGGGGCAGCGAAGCGCTAGAGACGTTTGAAAAGCGGGGGACGTCGCGTCACACCCGGGGGCGAGCAGGACGACGTTCAGTTTCACCTTTGGGAAACTCATGGAACTTTCTTTCGAGTCGGACGTTCTAGCGGGCGTCGGTAGTGGTCCCGTTCGGCCAACCGAAAGACTGGCCCAGATCGGTGGAACCCTTCTCCCCCCCCTCCTCCCCCCCCCCCTCGAGCCGTGACTCACGCATGTTCCGCAACGCCCGCAGCGCGCAGACGTGGTGGCTCGGAAAATGGTCGGGCTCGTGTGCGTCCCCCTCTCCCTGCGTGGTTCGTCGCGAGCGAAACCTGACCCACCCTCGCCCGCACAGACGAGGAGCCGAACGGCCCGGCGCACTCGACCAACTACTACCTCGCCTTGTACTCGGCCCTGTCGATCGGCGCCGTCCTCATCTCGACTCTACAGTGGTGCGTCGACGACCTCGTCCCCTCCCCTCCCGAGCTCGAGCTCGGCGCTCACCCTCGCCTCGTCACCTCGCAGGCTCGTCCTGTACACCGGCACCCTGCGCGCGAGCGGTCGCCTGCACCAGATGCTCCTGCACTCGGTCTTGCGTGCGCCTCTTCGGTGGTTCGACAGCCAGGCCCTCGGCCGCATCCAGGTGCGCTCGAGCCTCTCCTCGTCTCCTTCCTCGTCGCTCGAGCGCATTCGCTCACGCCTTCTTGACGCAGAACCGGTTCTCCAAGGACCTCGAGGGTGTCGACGCGTCGCTGCCGGACAACTTTGGTCGTTCGCTCATGTATGGCCTCGGCGTCCTGACGACGCTCGCCGTCATCTCGAGCACGTCGCCGGCATTCCTCCTCATGTTCGCCGTCATCGCCGTCGCCTACTTCCACTACGTCCGTCTCCTCTTCCTTCTCCTCGTCCTGCCGCAGGCGTTGCAGGTGCTCACGCCGTCGCTCCCCCGTGCAGGCCCGCCTCTTCTCGCACTCGGCTCGCGAGTTCCGCCGCCTCGACTCGGTGTCCAAGTCGCCTTTGTTCTCGATCTACGGCGAGGCGATTCAGGGCGTCGCCGTCATCCGGGCGTTCGGCAGCTCGGCGAGGTTTATGGCGCTCATGCTCGAGCGAGCGACGACCAACGTGTCGTTCTACGCCTACCTGTGGGGCACCAATGTGCTTCCCTCTTTCTCTCCCTGCTTCCTCCTCGCGCCGTCACTGACCCTTTGTGTCCCGTCGCAGCGTTGGCTCTCGATGCGCTTCTCGCTCCTGTCGGCCATCGTCGTCGCCTTGACGGGCTACGTCCTCATCGCCGCCGGCGACAAGATCGACGCGCCGCTCGCCGGTTTCACCCTCACGTTCGCCCTCAACATCTCGAACGAGATCCTGTTCCTCGTGCGCCGCTTCACGCAGCTCGAGCTGTCGCTCGTCGGCGTCGAGCGCCTCAAGGCGTACAGCGAGATCGAGCAGGAGGTCCGTCTCGCTCTCTCTCTTCCTCTCTCCTGCTCCTCGTCTCTCGTTCCGAGCCTGACCCTGTACATGTCGCACAGGCCCCCGAGATCATCGAGCCACGCCCACCTGCGCACTGGCCCCAGGGCAATATCGAGGTCGACAACCTGTCGATCCGGTACGCCGACGCGCTCCCCGACGTCCTGCACTCGCTCAGCTTCTCGATCAAGGCCGGCGAGAAGATCGGCATCGTCGGCCCGACTGGCTGCGGCAAGAGCACGATGATGCAGGCCTTCTTCCGCTTCGTCGAAGCGCGCGAGGGCAAGATCGTCATCGACGGCCTCGACATCTCCAAGATTGGCCTCCTCGACCTGCGCTCGAGGCTCACGATCGTGCCGCAAGACCCAGGTGCGTCCCAGTCGTTCCCCTCGACTCGTCCCGTGCGCGTCCCTGACGAGCCTCGTCGAGCGCGCAGTTATCCTGTCGGGCTCGCTCCGGACGACGCTCGACATGTTCCTGCAGTACGGTGCGCCCTCGCCTCCTCCTTTTTCCCTCTCTTTCGCCCAGTCTGACGACCCTCTCGCCCTTGCAGACGACGCCGAGATCTTTGACGCGCTCCGCCGCGTCCACCTCATTCGCGAGGGCGAGCGTCCCGACGACCAAGACGCGACCGCCAACCGCAGCCCCTTCTGGAACCTCGACTCGGAGGTTGCCGAGGGTGGCACCAACTACTCGACCGGTGCGTCCCTGTCTCTTTCTCGGGCGGCCCTGTGTCGCACCCACTGACCCGAGTCCATCTCTTCTCGCAGGTCAGCGCCAGCTTCTCTGCATGGCGAGGGCGCTGCTCAAGCGCAACAAGGTGCTCCTGCTCGACGAGGCGACAGCAAGCACGGATAGCCAGACCGACGAGCTGTGCGTCCCCCGCCATTTCTCCCCTCTTCCCCTCGCCTTCCGTCCCTCGCCTCCCGTTCCCTCCCTGCTCGTCCTCCCCTTCCCTCTCGCAAAGCCCGTCGACTGACTTTTCCGCTCTTCACTCAGCATCACGCAGACGATCCGGGAGGAGTTCGCCGACTCGACGCTCCTCGTCATCGCCCATCGCCTGTGTGTCCCCTCCTCGCCGCCTCCTCCCTCCAGCCACCCACTCACCCTTTTCCTGCCCGTACGCAGCCGCACGATCATCGACTTTACTCGCGTCCTCGTCCTCGACCGCGGCGAGATCGTCGAGTTCGACTCGCCCGCCAAGCTCCTCGACGACCCGTCGAGCCGGTTCTACGCCCTGTGCCGCGCCAGTGGTCGCCGCGAGTTTACAATCCTCAAGAAGATGGCCCAGGGCAGGGCGCGCGTCACGCACCGTCCTCGCAAGGTGCGTCGCCTCCGATTCACCCGTCCTCGACCTCTCGCGACGTCGCTCACCTCTCCTCTCTTGCCCGCCTGCAGATCGTCCGCCGGCCGACGACGACGACGACGACGGACAAGCCGAGTGACGGGCAGGCGAATGGTGGGACGGCGTAGAAGCTGCAGCTGCATGAGCATCGTCGTTTTATCTCTTTCTCTGGCGCGCTAGCTTCAGAGAGGAAGCTCTACGTGGAAGACGGCGACCTGGGAGCGTGCGAGACTCGAGAGGCTGTGCTTGCGGCTGTGCACCTTGTCGCCGTGAGCTTGTGAAGAGCTTCGGCGCACTCGAGAGCTTCGGCACCGGTCGCCTCGTCAGCGATTCGGCCGAATGTGGGGGCGAGCTGGCGATTGCCGGTCTCTCGCTCCTCTGCCTTCCACCACTCGCCCAGCTACCGCCCGCTGTGCACCATGTCGACCTCGTACGGTCCAGGCAGCAGCTACACCCAGTGGGACTTCATCAAGGGCCACCTCACCGCTCGCGTCCCTGTTCCTGAGGCCAACCTCGACGGCCGGGTCGCTCTCATCACGGGCGCAACTTCTGGGTCAGCCGCGCTGTCCTCCCGATGTTCCTTGAGTGCACTGGACGATGTGCAGGGCGCAGCGACCGCGAGGAGGACTGCGAGCTGACCTCCCCCGTCCTCCTCGCAGACTTGGCTTCGCTGCAGCGCAGCACTTTGCTCGGCTCGACACGTCGCTTATCATCGTCGCCGCACGCAATCCGGCAAAGGCCAAGACGTGCATCGAGCAGCTGTACAAGGACGTGCCGACTTTCCGCGGCGAGGTCAAGACGGTCTCGCTCGACATGACGAGCTTCGCCAGCGTGCGCGCCTGCGTCAAGGAGCTCGAGCAGTTTCCCCGCCTCGACTTTGCCCTCCTCAACGCCGGCATCGCCAACATGAAGCACGTCGAGACCGACGACGGCTGGCTCGCCGACATCCAGGTCAACGTCCTGTCGACCGGCCTGCTCGCCCTCCTTCTTCTTCCCAAGCTCCAGGCGACCGCCAAGCTTCCGCAACCAACGAGCTCTGAGCCGGCCAACCTCAAGCCGCAGCTCCACATCGTCGCATCCGAGGGTGAGCTCTCCCTTCCTCTTCCTCTCTCTCGAGGGCGCGCTCGAGGCGACAAGCGCTCACAGCCCACGCACTCTGTCTGCAGTTCACTATTGGGTCGCGCCGGCCACCGAGAAGCTCATGCTCGACGCCGACCACACGCTCAAGCTCGTGTCGACGCCCGAGTTCCGCAAAAAGGTCCCGTTCAGCGAGATCTACCAGGTCACCAAGCTGTTCGACGTCTACCTCGCGCGCAAGATCGGCGCCCTCGACTCGGCACGAGGCGTTCAGGTCACAAGCTCGTCGCCAGGCCTGTGCAAGTCGTCGCTGCTCGACACGATGGGCCCGATCCTGTCTCGGTACGTCCCTTCCGCCTCTTCTATCATTCCCTCTCTCTCGTTCAAGCGCGCCTAACTCCTTCTTCGACAGCATCAACTACGCCATCGCCTGGCGCTCCGAGTTCGGCACGCGCACGTACATGCACGGCATGCTCGACCCGCAGCCGCAGGGCGCGTTCGTCTTCAAGGGCAAGGCGCACCCTCCCTCGACGTTCGCCTGTTCGCCCGATGGCGTCAAGCTCGAGAACAAGGTCTGGGAGGAGGCACGCGAGGTGTGGGAGGAGGTGGCGCCCGAGGTCAAGGAGGTCCTCGGCGGGCTGTGAGCGCCGGTTTGCGTGTTGCGAGCTTCCCCTCCCCTAGATCTCGTCAGTGTCGTTCTCTCCGTCGTTCGTAGCAGAGCCTGAATAGACTTCCTCGCCGTTCCCTCTCCAGAGAGATGCCCTCGCTGAGGGCGACGAGCGACGAGAAGGTGAGCGAGGCTTGCTCGCGCGGGTTCTTCGGCCGCTCGGGCCCTCGCGACGGCCCGCACGGCTCGCCTCGAGCCTCTCGCTCCCGCCTTGGTGCGAGTCTGCGGACCGTCGAGAGTCGCTCACGTAAGGGCCCAGGTCAGCTCGACTCGCCGGAGCCCGGCTGTTGATCGCCGCTTCGGGCTGAGCGTGAGCCCGAGTGAACGTTCCCAAGGTCGAGAGGCTCGCTCCCGCTTCTTCTTGCCTCTCTCTCCATTACTCCACACGCCTGTCGCCGCACAGCACCTCAGCTCGCAACCCTCAGCCACCCGTCGCCTCTTCGCCACCAGAAATCGCCATGTCGACGCCGTACGGATCCGGCCAGGACCTCTCGCGCCTCCAGCTCATCAAGGGTCACCTCACGGCCAAGATCCCCAAGCCCGTCGGCAACCTCACCGGCCGCGTCGCCCTCGGCACCGGCGCCACGTCTGGGTGCGCCCCGCTCTCGCTCGCACGGGCCTCTCGTTGACATCCGTCGTTGACCTTTCGCACTCTTTCCTCGCAGTTTGGGCTTCGAAGCGGCGTTGCACTTTGCTCGCCTCAACACGGAGGTTATCGTGTTCGGTGTGCGCAGCCCCGCAAAGGCCGCCAAGTACATCGAGCAGCTGTACAAGGAGGTGCCGACGTTCCGCGGCGAGGTCAAGACGATCGCGCTCGACTACAGCAGCTTTGCCAGCGTGCGCTCGTTCGCCAAGGAGCTGAGCGAGTCGGTGCCTCGTCTCGACTTTGCCGTCCTCAACGCCGGCGTCGCCAACACCCAGCACATCGAGACCAAGGACGGCTGGTCCGAGGACATCCAGGTCAACGTCATCTCGACCGGCCTGCTCGGCGTCCTCCTCCTCCCCAAGCTCCAGGAGACGGCCAAGTTGCCGCAGCCGTCGGGCGCACAGCCGGCGAACCTCAAGCCTCAGCTTCACCTCGTCGCATCTGAGGGTGCGTCCCGAGCTCTCGCTTTCAAGACCCTCTCTTGCGATCATCGCGCCCTCTCACGTACATCGCGATCTGACTTTGTTTTTCTCGACCCGCAGTGCACTGGTGGCTGCGGCCATCGACGGCCAAGATCCTCGTCGAGGCGTCAGACGCCGGCCGCCTTCTCGAGACGACGAGCACGCCCGAGTACCGCAAGCAGGTCCCGTATGACGAGATCTACAACACGACCAAGTTGCTCTGCATCCTCATGGCGCGCAAGATCGGCGGGCTGTCGGCGTCGCAGGGTATCCAGGTCACCTCGTCGTCGCCGGGTCTGTGCAAGAGCGCTCTTCGCGACAGCATGGGCTCGATCACCGCCTGGTGCGCACCTCTCTCTCCTTCGTTCAGCTCTACCCGCTAGTCCAACTGTTTGATGACCCTCGCTCGCAGGCTCATCAACGCCGTGTCGTGGCGCGGCGAGTTCGGCACGCGCACGTACCTGCACGCCATGCTCGAGCCGCATGCGCAGGGGACGTTCGTCTTCCAGGGCAAGGAGCAGCCGACGTCGAGGTTCTCGTGCTCGGTCGAAGGCGTGCGCATGGAGGACGAGATGTGGAAGGAGGCGACCGAGATCTTCCGCAAGGTGACGCCCGAGGTCGACGACGTGCTGCGCTGAGTCGCGCTTTCTCTCGCGGTGTGCACGCTCTCGTCGCACTCTTTGTAGCACTATTGCCGTGTCCATAGAGCATCTTTCCCCCCTCTGACTCGGCCTGAGAGAAGAAAGCTCGTCCACCTTGGTTTGAGAAGGTCGCCCCGAGACGAGGTCCGAGCGTGCACTTTCGCACGAGAGAACTCGAAAACTATCTACTCTCGTCGTTGCTTGCGTCGTTGTCGTCGCAGGAGAGGACGTCACAGGCTTTGTATGACAGAGAGAGACCGAGAAAACGGACAGACCCGGACGCTCGGTACGGAAGAGGCGACGAGAGAGAGACCCTGCTGTACAACGAGCCGAGCGCACCAACTGCACCCGCTCACAGCCACCCGACGAACCTCTGCTCGGCCTGGAGCAGGCTCCTCCAGTCGACCGTCCACCCCTTCTCGTCCGTCACGTCCCAGATCCGCTCGAGCGCGCTCACGTTGTCGCGGTAGCCCTGCTGCCGCCCGCACACCTCGATGCCGCGCCGGCACAAGGCCCGGTCGGACGGGAGCTGGGCGCACGTCCCGGCGAGGAACCAGGGGACGGCGCGCATAGACGGCGCCGAGAGGGACTCCTCCTCGCCGGGACCGGGAGGGACGGGCGCCGATGACGACGCGGCGCCGCCTGGCGCTCCTGCTGCTGTCGCCGCCTCGAGGCCCGCGACGTGTGCAGCGCTCGAGGATGCCGCCGCTGACGACGCTGCCGCCGTCGCGAGCGAGCCGAGCGGCGCTCGGTACTGCTGCAGCATGCGGGACCCGAGCTGGAGGATCTGCTGCATGGCCTCGCGGATGACGCGCGACAGGGGGCCGTGACGGTGGACGACCTGGTACAGGAAGATGATGATGGCCTGCAAGCGAGCAAGGGAGAGGCTCGAGGTCAGGTCAAGGCGCTCGGGCGAGGGTCGTGGGAAGGGGGGAAAGAGGGACGTGGGACGTACGTGACGCCACATCTCTGCGCTCGAGAGCTTGTCGATGTACCACGCGCTGTCGGCCAGGTCCTCGATGTTGGGCGGCGCCGGCTTCCACTCACGGATGGCGTTCTCGATGGCGGCCGCCTTGACGCGCACAACCTCGTCCGGGAGCGCGTCCATCTCGGCGCCGAGGTTGGCCGTCGCCGCGACGCACAGGAGGAGCCCGAGCGGCAGGCCGAGGTGGGCGTCGATCGAGTTCGAGTGCGACGAGACGTCCGAGACGACGGCCTCGGGCGTCGTCGCCGAGGGCTCGCCGGGCAGGCCCGAGAACGCAAAGATGGTGCGACGCCGGGGGATGCAGATACAGCGGACGCAGTCGGACCAGGCGACAGCCGACAGGAGGACGTTCTTGGGGTCGCGCATGTCCGACAGGTCGATCGCGGGTCTGTGCGGCGAGGGCGAGCGACGCAAGGTCAGGATCTGCGTCGTCGTCGACGACCATTCTCGAGTGAGAGGGGACGCACTGCGACCCGAGAGCCTCGTTGATAAAGAGTTCGGCGAGGAGGAGGATGGCGTTGGCCGCCGCCGCGCCCCACTGGTCAAACTGCGACCGGGCGAGCTGAGTCAGTCCTCTCTGCGCACCTCGGGCACGCTCTGTGAGGGACAAGAGGGTGACGCACCTGGTACGTCTGCATGTCGAGGACGGCGACCATCTTGGCCTCGAACGGGATCGGCGCTTGCAGGTGCTCGAGCGCCTTCTGGAAGTAGTGATCCGACTGGGCGAGGAGCTTGGCGTGCTGCTCAGAGGCGGTGGCGACTTCTGCGGCGCTGAGCGGCTCGGACGAGGCTTGCTGCGCCTGCTGCTGCATGCGGAGGCGGTAGAGCATGACCTGCGAAGGCGGGACGGCGAGGAAGATAAAGGGTTCGAGGCGAGGTCAGGCTCGGCAGGTTCGGCGCCGACGACGCGAGGGGACGCACCATGGCCATGGCGGCATGTCGACTCAGGTCGGACGAGCCGGCGACGTTGTACGCCTTCTGGACGACGACCTCGCGCACGGGCTTGGGCAGCGAGCGGAAAAAGCCGGCGTTGAACGTGTTGTCTGTGGGGGCATCCGGGCAGGTCAGTCTCTCGCGGATGATGAGGCGACAGAAGAGAAAGGGGGCGCACAGATCGGGTCGACCTCGACGGGCTCGAGTTCCTCGCCGGGTGCGGGCGAGTCCAGGCGTGGTACTTTTGACGACGGCGGCGGAACCGAGGGCGCACGAGGCCTCTTCTCCTTGCGACCCGGTGAGGTGAATGTCGACGAGGTCGCCGCGACCGTCTCGACGGCGGCAGGCGGCGGCGGCGAAGGTACAGCAGACGCCGCCGAGCCGGTGCTGGCCGCCGCCTCGAGGAGCGCCCGGACCGTCTCGTCCTCGGCGTCGACGCGCTCGCGGACCAGGTCGAGGTCGCGATGCGCCTGCGCAGCCGCCTCGGCCTCGGCGAGGGGCGTCAGGCCGGCGCCGGCGTACAGGACGGTTGGCGAGCCCGACTCGACGGCGCTGCTCGGCGCGCTCGGGTCCGCGTCGACGGCGGGTACGCGGGGCCCGTCGACGCGGACCTGCGACTGGAGCGAGTCCCAGTAGCCGACCTCGGCGTCGAGGGACGAGAAGAAGTGCGACAGGTCGTCGCCGAGCTGTTCGGGCGGGGCGAGGAACGCCGAAAAGGACGAAGCGGGCGCGAGGACGTCGAGGTCGGCGTACGGGTTGGGCGTTGACGAGCCGGCGGTTGACGAGGCGGTCGGGAGGAGGGACGAGATGGGGAGGGAACAGGACGAGGTTGAGGTCGAGGTCGAGGGGAGGAAAGGGAATGGCGAGGCGCCGACCGAGGTCGACGCTGCGAGGCTCGCGCTCGCCGATGACACGGATGTCGGGATGTAGGTGCTGCCAGAGGGCGGTGGGACAGGGAGCGGGCCCGGGTCGATGCGAGAGCCGACGTCGCGGTCGTCGTCGAGAGCGTCGACCGTCGTCGCCGAGGTAGGGCGGGCTGCACCCTTGGCCTGGGCGCGTTTGCTGCCGCTGACGAAGCTGCGCAGGGGCTTGTTGCCCGGCGGGAGGGGCCACTGGCAGTCCCACGAGCCGGTGAAGCACCTCCTGCACGCGCCGCGGTTCTCGGACAGGCGGGTCTCGTCGCACTTCTGTGGCGACCGCGACCTGTCGGCTCGAGGGAACGAGTCAGTCGTGGGCGGCGAGGGCACGGCGGCGGGCGAGAGAGACGAGGGTGGGCGACGGGCGATAAAGCGGCCGAGGAGAGAGGGGACGCACAGGTGAGGCAGCCGGCGCGGGAGCGGGTCTTGCCCTCGTTGGCGCGGTCTGCAGGCATGCGTGGCGAGCTCTGGTGGGCGGTGCGTCCAGCGGTGGACTGACGGCGAGCGAGCAGAGAGCTGCAATCAAGCTGTCGAGCGAGCGAGCGGCACCCCGCAGTCTCACCTTTCCCTCGCACGTAAGTGCGCAGGTAGTGCACAGTGCTGCCCGCGAACAGGGACAGAGTGAGTACCAACCTGGACCGCGGTACATGCACCGCGAGGAGAAGAGCTCGACTCGAAGTCGAGGTACCCGCGCTCACTCGCTCTCTCGAGTGCCGACAGGCGGTCACAGGGTGGTCGAAGTCGAGTGAGCCTACCAGAGACCGACAGAACTGCACGGAGACGCGCTGTGAGCAAAGTGTGAGACGGACGCGCTGTCGCCTCCAAGCTGGCGCTCTCCTCTCGTCCTCGTCTCCCTCCCACTCGCACGGCCAGGTCGAGCGCGCCAGCCATGTACCGGCAGTCTGGAGAGTCGAGCATCCCGCTCAGCAACGTCAACTAGTGCGTCCCCCTCCTGCCTGTGCCCCTCGATCCCCCTCGTCGCAGCACCCCTCCTCATCTCGGCACGCGCTGACCCCTCTCGTCCTCCACAGCCAGCAGGCCCCTGGTGGCCAGAACACGCCCGCCTTTGGCAGCGTCCACGAGAAGAACTATGCTTCGGTGCGTCCCCGCCTCTCCCCTCTGTCGCCACCTTGTCGTCGAACGACGCGCTCATCATCCTCCGGAACTCCCGCCCTCTGCTCCGACAGCCCAAGCCCAAGCGTCGCGTGTGGCCCTGGATCGTAGCCGCCATCGTCGCCGTCATCATCATCCTCGGAGCCGTCCTCGGCGGCGTCCTCGGCTCGCGCGCCGCCAACGACAACGACAACTCGAAGAGCAACGCCGCCCAGGACGGCGCCGCCCAGACCGGCAGCGGCGTCGCCAGTGCCGCCACGCGCACCAAGGGCTCGGGCAACCTCGCCATCGTCCCGACTGTGCGTCCCCCCCTCTTCCCGGTCCCCTCTCCCCCCCTCCGTCGACATCGTCCTGACCCTCGAGCTTTCTGCCCACAGGCCACGGACCAGTTCGGCAACCCGATGTACCCGTCGTCGACCGGCTCGGCCCGCATCTCGTCGCCGACGACCGTCGCCAACTCGTCCCTGTCGTGCACGGCCGACGACGCTGGGTCCCTGTCGCTCACGAGCCCCAAGACGTCGCACCCGCTCCTCATCGCGACCGAGAACAAGTGGGCGTGCCTGCCCGGCCTCATCCAGTCGGACAGCTACCTGAGCTACTGGAACGACACCGTGTTCCGCAACGCGTCGCGCTTCTACGACATGACGCCGACCAACTACTCGATCGACGGCGGCCTCACGGGCTCGGGCGTCCTCGACGTCGCGCGCGAGGTCCAGCTCCGCATCAAGCACTGGGCGTACGCCTACAAGCTGTCGAACGACACCAAGTGGGTCGACCGCACCTGGCAGGAGCTCGTCGTCGCCGCCGGCAACGACACGAACCAGTACTTTGGCGAGCAGGGCGACAACTGGAACTCGGGCCACTTCCTCGACGTCGCCGAGTTTACCGAGGCGTTCGCGATCGCGTACGACTGGATGTTTGACGCGTGGACGGCCGACCAGCGCAACGCGATCGCGTGGAGCATCATCAACCTCGGCCTCCAGTACGGCCTCAACGCCTACACCGACACGAGCGTCGGGTACCGCTGGTGGACCACTGTCCGGGGCAACTGGAACTGCGTGCGTCCCGCTCTCCTCTCTCTCCTTCCGTCCCTCAGGTCGTCCTCGTCGCCCGCCTCCTGCGTCCCGTCCTGACCTCTCGCACCCCTGCAGGTTTGCAACAAGGGCCTGACTATGGGTGCCCTCGCCATCATCAACGAGTACCCGAACTCGCCTGCTCGCGAGCTCCTCACGTACACGGTCGACAACGCCAACGCCATGTGCGCCTACGCCCCGAGCCCCGAGGGCACCTGGAGCGAGACGCCCAACTACTGGTCCGTCTGCAGCTCCTCCTTTCCCTCCTTCGCGTGTACTCTCTCGTGTCGGGCGCACGTCGACTGACACGCGCTTGCGCTCTCACAGGTACTTCGGCACCTACTCGCACGCCGAGATGGCCGCGTCGCTCCTCACGGCGACGGGCTCGACCCAGGGCCTCCTGACGACCAACCCGGGCGTCAAGCTTACGAGCCTGTACCACATGTACGTCGTCGGCCAGCAGGGCATCTTCTCGTACGGCGACGCCGGCCCCAACAAGTACACGGCGACGGCCAACCACCTCATGTTCTACGGCTCCCAGTTCGGTTCGTCCCTCTTTCTCCCGCCCTCGTGCTCCCGATCCAGTCGTCGACGGACGTCGAGCAGGTCCTGACCACCCGTCTCCCTCGCGCAGACGAGCCGCTCTACACCCTGTACCAGCGCGACCGCGGCGACGCGCCCGACCCGATGTCGATCCTGTACTACGACCCGCAGGTCTCGGGCCAGTTCTGGGACGGTCTCGCCCTCGACCGCCACTTCGACAACACGACCGACGGCTGGTTCTCGGCGCGCTCGAGCTGGACCGACAACGACGGCGCCTACATCGCCATGAAGGCCGGCTACCTCCAGGGCCACCAGACGCACGGCGACCTCGACGCCGGCACGTTCGTCCTCGACGCCATGGGCCACCGGTGGGCTGGCGAGCTCGGATCCGGGTCCGTCGCCGTCCTCCTCCTCCCGTCCCTCTCAGTTTCGGTCCCTCGCGCAGGCCCGTACTGACTCTCGTTTCCCTCTCTCTTCCCTCTTCTGCAGCGACTACCTCTCGCAGGGCTACTTCTCGAGCGAGGCGCAGAACTCGCCTCGTTGGCTGTACTACCGCAAGGTGCGTCCTCGTCCGCCTCCCTTGCGCTCGGACCCCTTTTTGGCCTTCCCAACTCACTTATCTCGCTTCTCTCTCGCAGCGCACCGAGGGCCAGAACACGCTCATGATCGGCGATGAGGACCAGAACGTCGACGGGCGCCCGACGACCGCGTTCGGCTCGTCGAACGAGGCCCAGGACGCGCTCGACTACAAGGTCGCCAACGGCTCGACCGCCTTCTTCACGGCCGACCTCACGCCCATGTACAACTCGACGAGCAGCGCCAACCGCGCCATCCGCTTCGTCAACGGCCGCAAGCAGGTCCTCCTTCGCGACGAGGTGACGACGACCGCCGCCGTCCAGTGGTACGTCCCCTCTCTTTCCTCCTCCCTTTCGCCACTCCAAGGGGCTCGCCCTGACTCTTTCTTCGACCTGCAGGCGCATGCACACGAACGCGACCGTCGCCCTGTCCAACTCGGACCGCACGGCGACGCTCACGATCGGCGACGAGACGCTCGTCGCGACCCTGCGCTCGCCGTCGGGCGCCACGTTCGGCACCGAGGACGCGCAGCGCATGCCGTCGGACCCGACGACGACCATGTACGACGGCGCGACCGTCACCATGTCGGAGGACCAGCCCAACCCGGGCGTGACGGTCCTCACCATCGACGTCGCCGCCGGCACCAACACGATCGAGGTCTTGTTCAACCCGCAGTGGAGCGGCTGGAGCGAGAGCGACTTTGTCAACCCGCCCGACGTCGCCATCGCCGACTGGAGCGTCACGAGCCACAACTAGACGGCCGGTCGCACGGCTCGTCTCGTCCTTTCCTTCTCTCCCCCTCACGATACCTCCCTCCCTTTCCCTTCCCGTCACGACCCTCCCGCACCACGAGCACACCCATCTTTCCCGCTTTCACCCGCCTGTCTAGCCACGCCATGTTGCATGCTTTCCCTCCCTCGCCCCCTCATCCAGCTTAGCGCCCTCCTCACCCTCCCTCGCTCGCCTATACCTCCCTCGCCTCTCTCTCTTTCTCCCTTCATTAGGACAGACACTCGTGCACAGATCGTTCTCTCTTCCTCTCTTTGTGCTCGAGAGTGAACGCGAGAGCATGCGCGAGGAAGCGAAGAGAGAGAGAGAGAGAGAGCGAGAGAGAGCAACGCGTTCACGGCACAGGAAAAATGCGCTACAGCCCGACGACGAGACGCACGTCGGCTCCCTCCCACTCGCCCTCCCACACACCCTCGTCGACGTAGCCGCGCTCCTCGCCCTCGTCCTGCTCGGCCATGAACAAGTCCTCGCCGAACCGGATGCGCGGCTTGGCGTGGTACGCCGTCTCGTCCCCTTGCGCCTCGTCGTCGTCGCCGTACCACTCGTCGTCGGCCGGGTCGAGAGCCGGTGCGAGGCAGTCGGGGTGGAGCTCGATGCGCAGGGACGAGGAAGAGGGAGAGGGATCAAGAAGGCGGCCGTACTTGAGCGCGAGGGTTGGGGCAAACGTCGACGGGTCGAGCTCGAGAACCTGCGCACCCGACGAGGTCAGTGCCAGATCGGTCGAGCCAAGACCTGGGCGAGAGGTAGAACACGAGAGAGAGAGAGAGAGGACGGACCTTGACCGCGACTCTCGCGCCCGACCGTGCCGCACTGTCCCCCTTCTTCAACGGGCGCAGCTTGTCCCACCCTTGCGCCACCTCGTCCGCCCTGCGCCAGCCCTCCCATCCTGCTCCCTGCTCCTGCTGAGGCTCCTCGGCAACCGCAGGCACGTCCCGCACAAACTCGTCGACCGAGCGCACGGGCCTCGCCGGCGCGACCCACTCGCGGCTCGTCCCCTTGACGACCCTGCCGACGCCGGGCTCCCACCCTGCCGCCTCGACGTCGACGCTCGTGATGACGAGGTTGGGCGGGAGGTCGGTGCGCTTCGAGGGCGAGACGAAGCGCGGCGCACGAGGCTGCGAGTGCTCGTCGGCCCGACCCGGCCTCGTCGCCGACGCCGACACGGGTGCGGGCACGGTCGCAGGCTCGACGTCGTCGAGCGCCGTCGATGGCGAGAAGGCCGGCGACGTAGGCGTGTACACCGGGCTGCCCTGCGCCGCGAGCGCCTGCTCCTCCTGCGCCGCCGTCGAGCGGTCCGGCAGCGGCGCTGCGACGCCGCCGACGGCGGGCTGCGGCTCGCGGAAGAAGCCGCGCTTCTGCGCCTTGCTGACGCCGGCACGAGTGCCGCCTGCGCCGCGCTCGGACGACGGCGTGTTGCGCGTGCCGGCGCTCACGAGCGATATGCCCGGCTCGCCGCCGGTCGAGTACTTGCGCGATGGTGCCGTCGCAGGAAGGGCGAGCTCAGGCGTGGAGAGAGCAAGACGAGTGGGCGTGGCGGGCGGGCGAGGTGCGACGGCGGGCGCCTTGTGCGGCGGGACGGGCTTGATCGGCGAGGCGGGCTTCGGCGGCGCGAGCGGCGCACAGATCGGCTCGCCGACGTCGCCCAGCTCCTCGGCCGCCGTCTCCTTCTCGGTCGTCGCCGGCGGGTCGACAGGCGCGGCGTCGAGCGCCCGCTCGCGCTTCCTCGCCGCCTTGAGCATGCGCTTGCGCTGGTTGCGCTTGCGAGTGCGGCGCTTGCCCTCGCCGGGCGGAACGAGCGCCGCAAGAACGCGTCGAGGTGAGACCTGCGTGTCGACGTGAGAGGTGGCCGAGTCGCTGTCGGTGTCGCTGTCGGACGAGGACGAGGAAGAGTCGGAGGAGGAGGAGGATGTGGACGAGGACGAGCTCGACGACGATGACGATGAGGCCGGTGCTGGCGAACGGGTGACGGTGCGCTGGCGCTTTGCGGGCCGCTCATCGCCGTCTAGTGCAGGGGGCGGAGCTGGGCCGTGCCCATTGGCGAGGGCGAGCGGCCGCTTCGAGGGGAACACCTCGGGCGCGGCCTCGTCGTCGCTCGACTCGTCCATGTCCGAGCACGAGTCGGCATCCGAGCTGGTGTCGGTGTCGATGCCGGACGAGCTCGAGGGCGGGAGCGGGACGGCGGCTGCTTGTGCGGCGGGTGCGACGTAGGGAGGGATGACGGGGGGAGCGAGGGTGTCGGGAAAGGGAGGAAGAGGAGCGGTAGCGACCTTGATGCTGTTGCGTGGGGGGTACTTGGTCAGCTTGGTGGGCAGAGAGAGAGAAAGAGAGCTGTGGGAGGACGACGCACTCGAGGATGTCGTTGACCTGGACGAGATCGAGGTCAGCTCTGCGAACACTGCCGAGAGAGGGACGGAGTGGACGCACAGGATCGAGTACACTCAGTGGCGAGTCTGTGAGCACCGTAAAGCCTGCGCAGGATGCAGCGTCGGCGGGGAAACGAGTTCATCAGTCGCGGTCGACGAGGAGGACAAAGAAACGCGAGGGACGCACCCTGGATCTCGCACGCAATGTCGGTACGGCCCTGGAGCAGCCTGCTCACGGCGGCGAGCACGTCTGCGACGACTGGCGCGCGGTGGAGCGAGGTCGGGGTCGGGAGCGGCAGCCAGGCTCGCAACGGCGCCAACGGCGGATGCGCCACGACCCGGATCCGCGCAGGCGGGACAGGCGACGCGCTGTACTGGCTCGAGGCCATCGTAGCCGACCGAGCACGCTTCGCGAGGCGGATCGTCGAAGGTTGGACGAGGACAGCCTCCAAGTCGTTGCTCGCTCGCTCGCTCACTCGCTCTCGTGCTAGATCTCTCGAGAGGGAGCTGCGGCAGGGCATGGCTCGATCTGCAACGTTGCAGAGAGGCGCGCTACGCAAGAGCGAGATCCCACTGAATCTGAACCGCGAGCGATCACAGGGTAACTACTTGAACGACGGCGAGGGGGTAAAAGCTGCGAGTGCGAGGGTTTTTGCAAAGAGGGGGTCGTGCGAGAGGAGGGTCGTAAGGGAGACGGCGAAAGGGGTATGTCGAAGGGAAGGTCCGTGACGAGGAAAGAGGAGAGGAAAGGGGAAAAGTGTCCGTCGCCGGCTTCGTCTCGTCGACGAGCTCGGCGCAGAGAGGTCAAGGCTCTCGCTCAGAGGCGAGCGCTACGTGTTGACCTCGAACTGGAGGTTGATCGCGTTGATCCACTGCAGCGCCTCCTTGCGCGCCTTGGCCGAGTCGGCGGCCGGGATCCGGAGGTACACGATCGCCTTGTCGCCGACGCGCAGGCGCAGCACTGCGACAGACACAAGTTGTGAGTACTCTGCGACGACGAGGACAGGGAGCGGAGTAGAGGCGAGAGCGACGCACTGTCCTCGCTGCCGAACAAGCTCGCCGGCGAGTCGCCGCGCCCAGCCGGGCTCCCGAGCACGGGTTGCGGGCTGTTGAGCCTCAGGACCGTGTACAGCTCGACAGGCGCCATCGGGTCCTGGTCGAGCGGCGGCGAGGGCGCCTTGACGAGGACGAGGAGGTCGGTGCACAAGAGGCCGATCTGCAGGCAGTCGACGAGGTCAGGGATTGGCCGACGCGACGACGACGACGAGGACGAGAAGCAGAACGACGGGACGCACGAGAGGAACCTGCTTCGTCTCCTGGAACAAAGTCAGGATCTCCTCAGGTTCGACAGGCGACGAGCCGTTGGCGCTCCGGTACAGGTTGGGCTGCGCCGGGTCGACAGGCGCCGTCGAGCGCTTGACCGAGCGGACGAGGGTCTGTGCGGGACAAAAGAATGTCAGTGCCCGAGTCGATGAAGAGAAGGGGGAGGAACGAGAGCACGGACCAAGTTGCCGCTGCGGAGGAGGGTCCGGTGCGGCTGGACGAGCGGGCTCTTGAACCTCGTCGTGAGCCGGTTCTGCCACATGACGAGCTGCGCCCGGCCCTCGTTCTCGCGCTTGCTCTCGTTGAGCGCGACGGCGACCTCGTCCATCTCCTGCACCGCCTGGGCGATCTGGGCGTGCGGGTCGAGCAGGGCGGCGAGCGTCGACGGCTCGGGCGCCACTGGCGGCGGCGGCGTGCACGACAGGAGCGTCTCGAGGAGGAGGCGGTACCGAGGGATGCGCTGGATCGGGAGCAGGAGGTACGACTCGAGCGAGATTTGCGAGTGCGACGGGTGTGCTCGGGCGCGCTGCGGGACGGGACCTCGGTCAGACCGGCGAGGACAGTGATGAGTGAGGACGACGGGGACGCACCTTGAGCCAGGTCTTGATGCGCTTCTTCTGGCTGGACGAGAGGGTCGACGAGACGCCGGCCGTCGCGTCGAACATGGTCGCGGACGCGAGCGCAGGAGAGGCGCCCGGCGCGCCGCTCGCCGTGTTGCTCCTCGAGCGGGTGGTCGGGATCGTCTTGGCCCACGTCTGGATGCGGGCGAGCGCATCGTCAAACGCGTTGATGTACTGCGTGTAGATCCTGCGACGGGCGGGCCGAGCGTCAGGAGCTGTTGCCGGGGCGCCGACAAAGAGAGGGCGAACGAGCCGACGCACTTCATGAACGAGGCGTGCTGCACAAAGACGTCGCCGACCTTGCCTGCGACGACGGCCGAATCGCCACCACCTCGCACGGCAGCGAGCAGGTCGGGCAGGAGCACGCGGCGGTGAAAGTCGCGGATCGCCTCCTGCAGGATCGAGACGCGCCGAGTCAATACTGCTGCCTCTCGGCGGCTGCACGAGAGAGAAAGAGAGAAAGTGGGGGACGCACAATGTTGACGAAGACGGCTCTGCGCTCGGCCGAGGGCAGCACCGTGTCCCTGCGGCCGCCGTTGGCGCTGCTCGACACGGGCACGCTCGCGCTGTCGACGTAGATGCCGCACAACTCCTCGAGGCCGCGCAAGTACGACTGCTCCGTCTCGACAATCTCCTTGAGCACGGCCTCGCGCTTGACCGGGTCGTCGGCCGACTTCTTGGTGCCGCTGTTCTCGAGCTCGGCGACGGGGCATGGTGTCGGCGAGCGCGCCGACGGGTCCGGCGACTGGTCGTCGTACGCCTGCGACGCTCGGAGCGACGCCGACGAGGAGCGGAACGCGCTCGACGAGCCCGAGCCGTACGAGGGCAGGCGGCGCGTGCTCTGCGCACGGCGGACCGCGGCGGCTGCGCTCGCCGCCGGCGAGCCGGGGCGTGAGCCGAGGGCGCCGAGCGAGGGCGAGTGACGAAGTGGCGAGGAGGGGGTGTCGAGCGGGATGGCGGGGAGGGACACGTCGGGCGACAGGTCGTCGAGGTCGCGCAGGTAGGCGAGGACCGAGCGCAAGGCCGCCGAGTGGTTCTGCGGGGCGACGGTCGGACTCGACAGGGTAGACGGTGCGACGAGGCCGGCGGGCGACGACGAGAAGGCGTCGAGGAGCAGGAACGACTTGCGCTTGCTCGGCGGCGCCGTCCTCGCGCCGTGGAGCGCAGTGCCGGTCGCCGCCAAGCTCGGGTCCTTGGAGCGCTTCTTGAGCTTGCGCCCGACCGACCCGAACATGCGCGCACCTGCGCCGCCGCCGGCAACGCTGCTGCTGCCCTCGGTCGCCTTGCCCTCGACCTCGGACTCCTCGCCGCGCGTCACCGGCTGCGAGAACGTCCTCGAGTCGGCGACGAGCGCGCCCGGCCGGAGCGGGACCGACGGCGGCGGCGGCTTGGAGCCCGAGCGGAGCCGAGTGCCCGACACCTTCTTGAGGAGGCGGTTCCACCGGCGCTTGTCCTTCTTCTCGCTGACCTCGGGCTCGGGCGGCGGCGGCGGCGACGTCGCGGCGACAGGCAAGCCGACGGCTGGCAGCGACTCGACGAGTGCGGGCGTGAGCGCCGGGGTAAAGGCGGGCGTGAGGGAGGGCGTGAGGGCCGGCGTCAGGGAGGGGAACGTGCCCGACGAGGCGTCCCACCCGCGCAGGTCGTCGTGCACGCTCTCGAGCGCAGCGGCGAGCTCAGGCCCGCTCGGCACGACGCCCGAGGCGGCGAGAGGCGGCGTCGAGAAGGCGGCGAAGATCGGCGTGCCGGCCATCGAGTGAAAGGTCGGCGGGCTCGCGAGCGGCGGCGAGGGTGCGGTCGTGTTGATCGGCGGCGGCGGGAGCGGCGAGCCTCGGCGTGAGGCGGGCGACGTGGAGGACGACGGCTCGTGTGGCAGAGGCGGCAGTGGCGAACCGAGTCGGGAGGACGGCACGGCGAGGTCGGCGTCTCTTGCGGCGGCGCCCGGCTGGACGAACAGGGGCCGCACCACGTTCTGGACCTGCCAGTGGAACGGGTTATCGTCGACGAGGAGCGTGTCGAGGGCGCCGAGGCGGGCGAGCCACGCCGGGAGGGACCGCAGGCGGTTGCCGCGCACGGTGAGGGTGTGCAGGCGGCCGAGCTGGGCGAGCGACGACGGGAGGGTCGACAGGTTGCACGAGTCGGCGAGGAGGACGTTGAGGGCGGGGAGGGTGCCGAGGAACGACGGGAGGTTGCCGGTCGCGAGAGGGTTGCCGCTGAGGGAGAGCTCCTCGAGGAAGCAGCACGAGGCGATGGCGGACGGCACCTCGGACATGCCGCAGTCGCTGCAGTCGGGAAAGCGTATCAGTATGTGTCGAAGAGAGTAGAGAAGAGTCCGAGAGAGATCGAAACGCACGAGATGTCGAGGACCACGAGGCCATGGGCGAGCGTCGGGACGGCGAGCGACAGGAGCGGCGCAATCTGGAACGGTGTCCTGCACCGCCTCAGGACGAGATGCGTCGTCTCTGCGAGGGGATAAGGTTGGTCAGGCTCGAGCGGCTCGAGGGAAGGAAAGCGCGAGGGGACGAGAGACGCACCGGTCGGGAGCTCATGCTTCTCGATCGCCCTGTCGCTCCAGTCGACGACGTCCTCCTCCGACGCGCCGAGCATAGCCTGCAGCGGCTCGCCGTCTGCGCCGTAGTGCGCGTACCCGACTGGGCCCGCCTCGAGGGCCCACGCCGGCGCGTCCTCGTTCCACAGGCTGTTGCCCCGCCCTCGCCCGCCGCCGCCGCTGCCGACGACCCTGGTCGAGTTGGGCGTCGCGCTCGCGACCGACGACGAGCCCGTCGCGCTCGTCGCGAAGCTCGACTCGGCCGTCAAGGGCTGGCTAAACGAGCGGTAGCTCGCCGGCGCGCCGCCTCCTCCCGCCGCCGCGCGACGGACCATGAGCCCGAACGAGTCGTCCTCGTCGTCGTCGTCGTCGGCGTCGACGTCGGTCGACAGGAAGTCGGTCTCCTCGCCCATCGACGGGTAGTACGCCTCGCTGCCCTCGGTCACGGCCGGGCTCGCGAGGCGGTCGAGCGACGGCTGGCTGCGGAGCGCGCCGCCGACCGACGGGAACCCGCCCGACGGGATGTGCAGGAGCGACGGCCGGCGTGACGAGGCGACGGACGAGGTCGTCCAGGTCGACTGCGCGCTCGCCTCGCGAGGGCGTGGCGCAAAGACGGGGAGAAGAGGTGGGGGAGGAGGGAGCGAGGGCGAGGCGCCGTCGCGTGCGGCGGTCGAGCGGGTCGACATGACGAGCGTGCGATCGTCTGGTGGTGACGGCTGCGTTGGCGACGGGCGCGACGCGAGGCCCTGCCGGGCCGCCTCGTCGCGAGCGGGCGCGCGGTCGCTGCTCCACTCGCCGACTGCGTGCGAGGCCGTCATGATGCCCGGCAACGGGCTCGGGAGGCTCTGCGCGAACGCCGAAAGGCGGTCGAGGTTGCGCGCAAAGTCGCCGTCGCCGTCGAAGCTCGGCCGGCTGCCCGACGTTGGCTGCGACTGCGGCTCGTCGGCGACGCTGCGGGTCGAGGGCGATTCGAAGGCGATGCCGAGCCCGTCGAGGCGCGAAGGAGGAGGCCCGAGGCCGATGCCGCCGCCATGGCGAGACGTCGCGAACGACGGCTGGTCGAAGTGGAGCGGCGGGACGTGGTGCTGGCGCTTGTGGCCTGCCGGCAACAGCGACGGCGAGCCCTCGGCGGCGGACGAGTAGTCGGCCGTCGTCGCAGGCGTACCGAGCCAGCTGCTGTCGCCGCCGGTCGTCATGCCGCCCTCCTCGGACGAGCTGAGGAAGCCGCTCGAGCGGAGCGCGCCGGTCGAGGGCGTGTACACGCTGCTGTTGGTGCGCGACGAGGCCTGCGAGCGCGACGGCGGGCGCGGACGAGCGTGTGCGAGGCTCGACGCGAGGCCGCTCGGCATGCTCGTGACGGCGAGGAGGGCGCCGTCGTCGATGACGGCCGACGCGGGGCGCGAGTGGCCGGCGCTGCCCGCCGTGCTGCCGTCTGCGCCGCCGGGCCCGCCGGTGCTGCTCGACCGGCTGCGCGACGAGTAGGTCGACGCGCGAGAGAGGCGCGCCGAGCTCTTGGGCGGGATGGGCGGGCGAGGTCGGGCGGGCGAGTCGGCGAGGGCGGCCAGGGCGGCCGAGCTGAGGGAGCGCGAGTTGGGGCGGACGGGTTGCGGGGAGGTCGAGCGGGACGTCGCGAGCGGAGAGGTCGAGGGTTCGAGGGGCTGGTCGACGAGGTCGGCGGGGAGAGAGTCGACGCCTGGAGGAGGTGCGCGAGAGGCGGCGGTGGCCGACGACAAGCGGCGCTGCGTCGGCGTCGCGTGCTGCGAGTCCGACTGGAGCTTTGGCGGCGTGCCCAGCTCGTCGCGGCTCGACGGCGGCGTGTGCGGCGCGCGGATCTCGCCCGATTCAACCGCGAGCACCGGTGCCGCCGCCTCGAGAGCTCGCACCCTCGCCAGCACGCTGCCGCTCTGGACATGCGCCGACATGCCGACGAGTTCCGGTGGAGCTGCACGCGACGCGACGACCTTGGCCGTGTCGTGGCCGGGCTGCGAGGGTGCGATCGGGGGCGAGGTGGATGCGGGCGAGGGGAGGTCGCGGGAAGAAGCCGGCGGTGGTAGAGGCGAGGTAGAGGGATGTGGGTGGTGTGCCGGGTCGACCATGCGGTTCTCGGGTGTTGCGGCGGTGTAGCTGCGGGTGAGAGGACGGGGACGAGATGAGGATGGAGGGGGAGCGGGCTCAGGCGGTGCGCGAGCTGCGTCGCCTCGAGGAGCGGCCCTGCAGCGGTCGAGTGGCTACCAGGGTGTGGCTGCTGTCCTCGTCGAATCTGGTGCGGTGTGAGGGTGCCGGTGACAGCTTCTCGTCCTCCGCCTCGTTGACGACGAGCTCTCGCTCAACCGCTCGCCGCACGACGACGACGCCCACGAGCTGCTCTGCGGTGCTCTGTGTAGAGCTCTACAGCTGCACAGCTGCCTGGTTCGCGCGCTTATCCGCCCCGAACGGCCCTTCCTGCCACTCGCCCTCGGCCGACCGACACGACTTGAAGCGTGCGGTCGTACAACTCGCCCGTAGCTCAGAGCGACCTGGTGCCGCTCAGGTTCCGCTCTCATGCTATCTTGAGGCGAGTGTGCTTGCGAACCAGGCGATCAAACGCTCTGCCAGCTGGCTCGCCGCCTCTTCTCGCTCCACCTCCCTCGCCGACCACCTCTTTCTCGGCTCAAGCAGCTTGCATGGGCCCGCTCGCATCGATACAGCACGGCGTGTGCTACTGGGCTGAACTCCGATTCACAGACCAGATCTGTCCTGCAACCGGTGCGTCTTCCTCTCGTCTCTTCCTCGTGCGCGGCGAGCGACGTCCTGACTCTCTGCATGCATGGTCAGGTGCTTCGTCGCCTCCATCAAGCGGCGTGTCGACCAACTGGTGCCACAAGCTCGCCGCGACCCACTCGCCCTCAGCTCGAGTCGCCGCAACCTTCTTCGAGCGGACCACGCCGCCAACGCTCTTGCGCCCGCACGGGCACGCAGCGCCGACTCGGGGCGTCGACCGCCATTCCCTTCAGCGTCCCTGGCACATCGTCTCCCACGCCCCCAGTCCTCGAGGTGCGTCCGTCAAGCCTCAACTCTATCGGCGGCAGGATTGTCGCCTTCGAGCCCGCGAGGCGGGACGTGCGCGTGACCTTGCCAGCGTCCTGACGGCCTCTCGCCGCCTCTCGTATCACACAGATCCACCCTCGTACGGGCACCAGAACGCGCGGGATCAGCCAGTCGGCGTCAAGGCCGCGCGCACGACGAGCCCGATCGACCTTGCCCTCCTCTTTTTCGACGCTAGCCACCTCTCGACCAATCGCGGTCCGTTACCGTCCTCATCTCCGGGCTCTCGCCTGACCTCTTTTCGACGCTAACGACCTCTTACCGCAGTGGCTATCGGCGCACAGCCCGCTCGAGTGAGTTGCGGGGACGCGCACGGTCCCAGAGGCGTCCTTGGCCCGGTCGTTGGCTGATACTCGTCCTTGCGCGCACAGATCCTCCTCTCCTCTCTCTCCTTCATCCACCTCGCTCTCGCCTGCTCTCTCCCCCTCGTCCAAGTCTCCTCGCACCCTCCCCCAGCTCGAACTCGCGCAACATGGTCGCCCTCTCTCTCCTCGCCGCCATCGCCTCGACCCTCTCGCTCGCCGCCGCTGCGCCGACGGGCAACCTGGTCGAGCGTGCCGACACTTCGGCCTGCACGACTGGCTCAGCCATCCACATCATCGTCGCGCGCGGCTCGAACGAGGCTCAGGGCGAAGGTCCGTCCTCCTTTCTCCTTTTCTCTCGCTCTGGCTTCGACCGCCCCTGACTCGTCTCGATCCTCATGCAGGCGTCCTCGGCCAGATTGCGACGATGGTGAAGTCGCAGCTCCCTGGCTCGACGAGCGAGGGCATCGTCTGTGCGTCCCTCTCGCTCCGTCCTTCCTCCTCCCCCTCCCTCCTTCTCTCTCGCTCTCTCTTCGTACTTTTGCTCTCCTGTGACCCTTGGCATTCGAGTCGATTGAACCTGGCTCCATCCACACAGACCCGGCTACGCTCGTCCCGTACGCCTCTTCGGAGGCCGCCGGCGTCGCCGCCTTGACGAACGCGATCCAGTCGTACACTACTCGCTGCCCGTCGTCACGGTACTCCGTTTTCGGATACTCCCAGGCAAGTCGAGCTCTCCTGCGCCTCCTCTCCCCTCCCTGGCCCCAACTCGAGGCCCTTTTCCCTCCTCGAGGCGAATTTTGCCGGTCTTTCCCCTCCTCGACTCATACTGACCCAAGTACGACCCCACAGGGAGCTCACGCCGTCGGCGACACGCTGTGCGGCTCGTTCGGCATCTTTGGCCGCTCGAACGAGGACTTTGACGCCATCGAGGCGCTCGACGCGAGCAGCGACTGGAAGTACGAGGGCCTCTCGGACGCCGAGATCAGCGCCTTCTCGGTCGACGAGCCTCAGTCTACCCTGTCGGAGCGCGCCATCTCGGCCACGGCCAACAAGAACCTCGTTGCGATCCTCCTGACGGGCGACCCGACTTGGGTCCCGGGCCAGTCGTACAACGCCGGCACGTCCACGCGCCAGGGCATCTTCCCTCGTCCCAGCTCGGGCCTGCAGTGCCTCAACACGTTCGCGAGCCGCACCCGCAGCTACTGCGACGCCAACGACAGCGTCTGCGCGAGTGCGCCCACTTCTCCCTCAAGCGCTCGGACCTTCTCAAGACGACGCTGACCACCTCCTCGCCCCGCAGGTGGCTTCTCGATTGCCGTCCACCTCTCGTACGTCGCCAAGTACGGTACCGAGGCCGCCACGTTCGTCGTCAACAAGGCTCGCGCTGCGTGAGCCGTCGCCGTCGCCATCCTTTTCCCCTCTCTCTCGTTTCCTCCTTCCTTCTTTTACTCTCTCTCTCGGGCCACGACCATCGTCAAATGAAACCAAGTATGCAGTTCTGCCGTGCCACACAGACAGCCTGATCTTGCGCTGTCAAACGCGAGCGAGCGAGAGGAGAAAGTTGCAAAGGAACCGTTCTCTCGGCCCTTCTCGCCTCCCATCGCAGCTCTCTCACGCCCTTCTCATTTCTCACTGCCGGTGGCACGATCTTCTGCAAGCGCAAGCCCGGAAAGTGCTCCTCGGCCACGCGAGTTCGCCTTTGCCGTCGCTCGGCTCATACCCGCGGCTTCGCTGGCGCCGCACTTCCAGCATAAAGCTCGTACTTGACCGAGCTTACCCCTGCGCGGTACCGAGAGTTGCACTTTCAGGCCGAGCGCACAACGTTGGCGCCTCGAGGCCGACCTGCGGGCCGAGCGTCGAGCGCGCGAAGTCAACCAGATTGACCTTTCTGCCTCCGCGCTAGGGCCTCTCGGGTCAAGCGCTGCGTCGGCTTCGCCACGCGAGGTGTGCAAGCGAGTTCGTCTGCCCTCGTTTGCGCTAGAGTGAGCTCGCCGAGTCCCATGGATGGTGGTGGGCGCGCCGGTCGAGCGCTTGAGGCGCGAGGTCGGGGAGCGGCGCGCCGCCCTGGGGCGCTTTTTCCCAGGGGCACGCTCGCTCCCAGATGCTCCTGCTCTCTCTCCTCGTTCCTCTCTTCTGCTCCCAGCCCTTCCCGCCGAACCGCACCCCCACCGCCGAGCGCCATGGTTGCCTTCTCTCTGCTCGCCGCCCTCGCTTCGGTCCTCTCGCTCAGTGTTGCAGCGCCTGCCGCCGAGCTCGTGGCTCGCGACAGCTCTGCATGCGTTACCGGCGATGCCGTGCACATCATCGTCGCGCGCGCGTCGACCGAGCTCCCCGGCGAAGGTCCGTCGGCCTCTCTTTTCAACCTCTTGCCGTCGAGGACACGACACTGACGCACTCGCACTTCCCTCGCACCTCTCGCACAGGCATCATCGGTCAAGTGGTGACGATGATCAAGTCGCAGCTCCCCGGCTCGACGAGCGAGGCCGTCTCTTGTGCGCCGCTTTGACCTCTTTGCGCTCCTCGAGGCCTGAGCTGACCTTGTCCTTCCCTCCTTCGCCGCCGCGCAGACCCGGCGACGCTCTACCCGTACCTGTCGTCCGAGGCGGCGGGCGTGTCGGCCATGACCTCGCTCGTGCAGTCGTACGTTGCGCGTTGCGGAGAAGGTTCGCGCTTGATTTTGGCTGGATACTCGCAAGTAAGCCGCCCTTGCTTCGCGGTACGCTTCACCAGATCCGTCGACTAACACACCTTGGATCACAGGGCGCGCAGGTCGTCGGCGACACGCTGTGCGGGTCGTCGGGCCTGTTTGGCGGTTTCTCGGTCCCGAGCGGCTTCGGCTCGTCGACTTCCTCGCCCTGGTCTTTCTCTGGCCTCTCCAAGCGGGACCTCGACTCGTTCAACACCTCGACAGACGACGCCCTCGCCAAGCGCCAGCTCTCCAGCTCGATCTCGGGCAACATCGTCGCCGCGATTCAGATGGGCGACCCGTCTTTCGTGCCCGGCCAGAGCTTCGACGCCGGTACTTCGCGCATGAGGGGTCTCTTCCCTCGGTCGTCGTCGGGCGTGCAGTGCCTGCAGGGCTTTGCCGACCGCCTCAGGAGCTACTGCGACACCGGCGACGAGTTCTGCGCGAGTGCGTCTTCTTGTTTCCCTGCCTCTCTTTTGCCGACCGAGCTGATGCCTCGTCCTCCCGGTCGACAGGTGGTTTCTCTCTCGCCGTCCACCTTTCGTACGTGCAGCGTTACGGCGCCGAGGCGGCAGCGTTTGCCGTCAGCAGGGCTCGCGCTTGAGCCCCTTGATCGACCTTCCCAAACCGACCTCTTCCCTCTTCTTCTCCTTCTTCCTCTCGCGGTCTCTCGCGCCCTCTCGTTCCCATCTCTTTATTCGTCTCGTGCAAAGTAGCTCTCAAAGCAATGAGAAGCAGTCTTTCCTCGCAATGACACGAGCGAGAGAGCGAGAGCGAGAGAGAGCGAGTGGAAGAGAGGAAGCCGCATGGGCCCGACTGGCAATGCAGACGCCTCGCATCCTCGCGCCTGTCATGACACCTCGTTCTGTGCCGCGCTACAGCACCCTGACAACGACGACCTCACGCTCGCACAGCGCGACCACGGCCCTCTCGCCGCCCTCGAGCTCGACCGCCGCGACGCCAACGAGCGCACCTGCGCCCGGTACACCGACTCGGAGCACCATCTGCACGCCCGTGCGTGCGCGAGCGCCGAGTACAGGCGGCGGCGGCGCGAGGTAGACGAAGCAGTTGGCGCCGTCGCGGGTTGGGGCGCTCGCGCCGCCCGAGGTTGGAAGGGCCGGGGCGTCAAACGCGAGGACGGCGCCGGACGTGGCGGCCGAGGTGGAGGAGGATGAGAGAGGCGAGGGGAGGAGGTGGTGCACGAAGCGGGTGTCGCGCTTGGTCGCGAGGACAAAGGCGAGGGCGGGAAAGGTCGACGCGTGGGACCACTCGTAGGCGGCGGTCGAGGCGGGAGGAGGGGTGAACAGGAGGCCGTCGACGTCGTGCTTGACGGTGATGCCGTCGTACGAGGGTGCGGAGGAGGAGGACGGGGAGGCGTCGACGGCGAGCGGGAACGGCGTCGAGAGGAGCTCGTACGGCACGGCGGCGTGCGGGTGGACGAGCGTCGGCCGACTCGACTCGGTGGTGGCGGTCGCGCCCTCGACCCACGTGACGACGAACGGCCGGCCGCTCTCGGCGTCGACCTCGACGTCGACCTCCTCGCCCGTCAAGCTCGTCGGGATGCCCGACCCGAGCCCCTCGTCCGAGTGCGCGATGCCGTGCCGCACGAGCCCTTGGGCCCACTGCTCCATCTGCTCGGTGATAGCGGCGAGCTCGGACGGATCGAGCGACTCGGGCACGCCCTCGTACTCGAGCTCGGGGTCGAGCTCCTCGATCCTCGCCGGGCCCGCCGCCGCCGCCGCGTCGCCGTCGCCGCCGTCCCTCGCAGGCGTCGACGCAAAGACGTCGCTCCACCGAGTGCCGGCGTGCGCCTTCTCGAGGTGGAGCGTCAACAGGCCGTAGCTCGAGTCGCGGCCCTCGGCCTCGCGGTCGAACGTCCACACGCTCGTGTGCGGGTCGATGTCGGCCCACAGGCGCTTGTGGCTGACGCGCGGGAGGCCGACGCCGCCGGGGAGGCCGGTCGACGAGGCGGCGAACGCCGACGACGACGAGACGTGCAGGGTGAGGTACAGGCGCGAGAAGGTGAGGCGGATCGACGAGGTCGGCGTGTCGGACGGGATCGGGAAGGCGACCGTGACCGAGTCCTTGTCCTGGGTCCACGAGAACGGTGGCGGGCGAGGTACGGCCGGGCCCAAGGCCGACGCGGCGGCGGTCGAGGCGCGAGCCGGCGTCATGAGGACGTCGTCGCCGTCGACGCCCTCCCGCGCCTCGTCCTGCTCGGCAGCTCCCCGGCCGCCCTGCACGTGCACAAGCTTGGACCCTGCGCCGACGACAAAGGCGTCGCGCTCGCGGTCGTAGACGACGAAGCTCGGCAGGTCGTGGCACGCGAGGCGCCACGAGACGGCCAGCTGCTGCGGCGCGGCGGCGTCGACGTGGGACGCGAGCGAGACGCGGGCCGACAGGTAGATGAACTGGGTCGTCGACGAGATGGTGTGGCGGGTCGTGGCGGCCATCGAGCTCGGCGTCGGGAGCGACGAGGGTGCGGCGGCGGGCGAGGGCGCGGCGGCCTTGGTGACGATCGAGAGGAGGACGACGGCGTCGGTGTCCGAGACCTGCTCGGCAGCGTGGAGGCGGAACGGCGTCGCGCTGTCGCTGCCCTCGCGCAGCTCGAACTCGGCTTCGATCGAGCTGGTCCACGACGGCGACGCGGCGTCGACGCGCACGAGGAAGAGGCGGCCGCGCCCGTTGGACACGATCCACAGGGAGGGTGCGACGGCGAGCGCGGTCGGGTACTCGGGGACGGTGGACGAGGACGAGGACGAGGTCGAGTCGAGGGGGAGGCGGAGGAGAGGGTGAAAGGTCGGGACGGCGGTCTGCGAGCAGGCATGCGGGTCAGGCTATCGGGCCGACTGCGAGGACCGTACTTGACTGCAGGACACACCTTTGGGTCGAGGGTGAGGGCGGTGAGCTGCCCCTCGCCGTCGACGAAGACGAGGTCGCCTCGTTGCCCTGCGGCGAGATGGTTGTGGCGGGCGCGTGCGGCGACCTCGTTGTAGCTGAGACGGGCATGGTCTGGGAGCGCAGCGAGGCGGAACGGGGCCGGGAGAGGGTGCGAGGTCGGAGGGTGGGGAGGTTGGGCGAGCTTGTACGACTCGAAGTGTGGGTTGAGGAGGGCGTGGTTGGCCTGGAACGACAGCTTGTCGCCTGCTGGAGGTACTCGAGCCATCGCTGCGCTAGCCTGACGCTGTTGGCGAGGGCGCACTGGTCGACGAGCGACGGCCACCAGATGAACAAGGACGCTCTCTTTGCGCTCGCTACAGCACCGCCAGGGAGCTGTACGCAGCGCAGTTGCTCCCAGGTACGGCCTCACGCGGCCCTCGCACTGTCGCCGAGCTCCTGCGAGGTGTGCTCTGCTCGTCGGCCCCCGGCTCACCTCGTCGGCGCCGAGCCGCTGGCTCGCGCTCTGTCCACTCACTCTGCCCAGCTCTGCTCCCGTCCAGAGCACCCCGCACAGCCTCTGCTAGCCCCTGCCGCCATGTACCGCTACCCTTTCTCGCACCCACCCTCGGTGCCCGCCGCCCACCTCGACTTCCTCCAGCGCTTCTACCAGGCCTCGGACAGGCCCGACGCCATCGACGAGGTGCGCTCCCTTCTCTCTCACAGTCTTGCCACCCCAGCGAGCTGACACCACTGCCTCTCGGTCACAGTACCTCTCGTTCCTCTCGCCCGACGTCGACTTCGTCATGGGCCTCAACGCCGTCAACGGCCACGACGCAGTGCGACAGATCCGCCAAAACATGTGGGGCGGCGTCGTCGAGCGCGTTCACCGCCCTCGAGCCGTCTTTGCTGCGGGCGACGCCAGTGAGCTCATGCTCCACGGCACGGTCCGTCTCCTCCTTCTCCCTCATTGCCCTCGCGACGTGCGGGCACAAAGCCTCGCCCCTGACGCTCTTGTTCCGAACATACAGGTCAGCTACGGCTTGCGAGACGGCTCTCGAGTCGACAACGTCGGGTGGGCGGCGCTCGTCGTGTTTGCCGAGGGCGACCAGCTCAAGATGCGGCGGTACCAGGTGCGTTCCTCTCCCTGCATGGACGGGTGACGCGTCTCAGTCGACCTGTACTGACACTTTTCCGGTCGTCGACACAGGTCTGGCTCGTGAGCAGCCCCAGTCCACCTCCTCTGTCTCGTCGCCAGTTTCTGACGAGCTTTCTCTTGCATCGCAGGACGGCGCACCTCTTTCGAAGGCTCTCGCAGAACAGGCGGCAGGAGACCGGCAGACGTAGTCGATGAGCTGGAATGGCACTGCAGTACACCAAGCCTCGGCCTCGTTCGTCGAGAGCAGATCCTCCTTCGACGAGCCACGACCTCGTCCCCGCTGCCGCTCGCCGCCGCTGCCCGCACCGCTCCCTGCCCGCCCTGCTGCTACTGCTGGCTCGATTGCGCGCGGGCGAACCTGGCCGCTGGGCCGAGGGTGCGCATTGCGGCGGAGCCAAACAAAGGCGCGTGGACCGCTCTGAAGGCGAGTGGTGAGGCGAGCCCGCCAGGAGCTGTCGCCGGCAGGATCCACTGTAGCATAGCCGGTGACCAGCTTGTCGGACCCGAACAGCACGGCGAGCGGGTTGCGAAAGCAGAAGAGGGCGGGCAAGATGAGGAGGATCTCCTCCTGCGGCATAGCGCAGCCGAACCGCGACGAGCGGGACGCTCGCTTGCAGGAGTTGGCCTGGAGAGTACTCGCACGTGAACGAAGCGCGTAGATACACGCCTGGGCGAGAGCAGAGCGAGGGAGAGAAGCCAACGTTGAGCGAACCTCGTCCTCGTCCTCCTCCCCCCACCACAACTCGGGTCCGCCACCGCCAGGAGCCCAGTCGAGCCCAGCCGAGTACTGTACATGGCCACCTCGGTCGCCTCTGCCGTCGACCCACTTGCGCGCGGACGCTCGCACTCGCGCTCCATCTCGCCTGCCGCGTCTGCCCTCACCGACCACGACGGCGACTCGATCATCGAGGACGCACCTGTCCACCTGCCCGTCATGACCGATGTCCCCCGAGGAGCCGCCCACCCGGCCGCCCCAGCCCCGACCGCCGACGACCTCAAGCCCTCGGGCCCGATCTGCTCGTTCGGCCCCCGACTCGCCTACACCTACTTTGCCCACCCTGCGCCACGCGCCGAGCTCCTCAACGCCCTCACGCCGGGCGCACCCGCCCCCGCAAGTGTCGCCGCCAGCCCAGATGCCGCCGCCGCCGCCGCCGAGGAGGGCGTCCACTGGTTTTCGGTCGACGACCAGCTCGTGTACCTCAGCTTCTACCAAGATTACGGGCCTCTGAACGTCGGCTGTCTCTAGTGCGTCCCCCATCTCTCCCCTCCCTCTCGGCACTCGATGAGCGACCTCGCTGACCCCTTCCCCACCTCCCCTGTCTCGGCCCCTCCTCCTCGCTCTCGTCCTCCTCCCTGCGCCCCTCCCACGCTCCGTCCACCCCTCGACACTACGCCGTCCCATGCGTCGCCCTACCCGTCCGCCTACCCCGCACCGTCACCCCTTCCTCTCGCAACTCGCGCGACTTGCAGCCGGTTCTGCCTGCACCTGCACTCGCTCCTCAACGCGCCCGAGCACGCCTATCAGCGCATCTTCCTGTACTCGTCCGACGAGCCCGACAAGAAGGTCAACGCGGCGCTCCTCATGGCCCTGTACGCGGTGCGTCACCTTCCTCTCCTTCGAGCGCTCGTCCAGCGCCACCTCGGCGAGCATGCCCAAGCGCTTCGTGTACTGATGCCACTCTCTCACAGATGGTCGTCATGCGGTGGTCGGTTGCCGACGTCCTTCACCCTCTCAGCTGCCTCGAGCTTGTGCGTCCCTTTCCTCTCTCTCTCTCTCTCTCTCTCCTCAAGTCCCGCCACCCTCGAGCCTCTCTGACGAGGTCGGCCCTGTCCCTGCGCAGCAACCCTATCGTGACGCCGGCTACTCGCGCGCCGACTACCACCTCCACCCTCAGCACATCCTGTACGGCGTCCACCGCGCCCTGCAGCACCAGCTCCTCGACTTGTCGACGTTCGACCTCGCCGCGTACGAGGCCGCCGAGAAGGTCGAGACGGGCGACTGGAACTGGATCACGCCGGGCTTTGTCGCGTTCGCGAGCCCGGTCGAGGCGGGCTGGAGCGCCGGCGGGCAGACGCCCAAGAAGGGCGGCGCGCCCGGCGCCAAGATCAACCGCGCGTTCCGCAACGTCCTCGACGAGTTCGAGTCCAAGGGCGTCAAGGTCGTCGTCCGGTGCGTCCAGCTCGCCGCAGTCTCGTTCGACCCTCGAGTCGGTCGAGCCCGCTCGAGTACCCGATCGACCCTGACAGTTCTTCCCCTTCCACAGGCTCAACAAGAAGCTCTACGACGCCGCGCACTTTACTTCGCGCAACATGGAGCACGTCGAGATGTACTTTGACGACGGCACCAACCCAACGCTCGACATGTGTCGCCGCTTCATCGACCTGAGCGACCGCGTCATCTCGAACGGCGGCGCCGTCGCCGTTCACTGCAAGGCCGGCCTCGGTCGCACGGGCACGCTCATCGGCGCCTACCTCATCTACAAGCATGGGTTCACCGCCGACGAGGGTACGTCCACGCTCGCCTCGCCCCTCACTTGCGCACTTGCCCTGTCCTTTCTCAGCCGCGAGACTGACTCGCCCTTCTCGCACAGCGATCGGCTTCATGCGCCTCATGCGCCCTGGGTCGTGCGTCGGCCCGCAGCAGCATTTCCTGTACGAGAACCAGCTCGAGTGGGTCCGGTGGTCGGCGCAGGACGCCCTTCGCGCCGAGCTCGCCGCGCAGCACGGCCTCGCCGGGACGACACTCGGCGTCGCCAAAGCGTCTTCATCGGCGCAGGAGCGCCGGCCCACGACGCCGCCTGCCGACGAGCTGAGCGCTGGCGCCGGCGCCTCGGCCGCACCGACGACGCCCGGCCCGGGCGCCGTTCCGCCCGTCACGCCGCGCCGCACGAGCGCCAACGTCCCCGGGCAGCCGCGCAAGACGCCGGGCAGGTCGCGCCACGCCGTCGCGCAGCCCGAGGAGGTGTCGCCGCAGGAGAAGGAGCGGCTCGAGGCCGAGATGGAGGAGGAGCGCATGGAGGGCGTCGTCCTCTCGAGCCCGAGAAAGCGCACGAGCGACGTCGGGACGGCGGCGGGGGTGGGCATGGGCAAGGGCAAGGCGCCGATCCGCATGGAGGACGCCGTCGCCCCCGCCGAGGACGACGACGACGAGGACCCGCTCGCGCTCGTCAGCCCCAAGAAGCTCCACCTCGCGCCGGCGGCGAGCATCGCCGCGAGCTCCGGCGCAAGGGCCTCGACGTCGGCTGCCGCGCCATCCTCGAGCCGGCCCAAGACGCCGTCGGCCGCCACCAGCACGCGCCCGACCCGCGTTCCTCGACCTGCCCGGCCTCTCTCGGCCCTCGCCGACAACCGCATCGTCGACCGCCTCGGGTCGACGTCGCAGGGCACCCGCATGTCGACCCGCACGGGCCAAGCGCCACCTTCGCCCTCGGGCGCCGGCGCCGGTACAGGTCTCGCACGCTCGAAGGCGGCCAAGAACCTCAACACGGTGTTCGAGGCCGAGACGTCGGCTGCAGGCCAGTCGAGGTACCCGCTGCGCAACACGCGCTCGTCGGGCGGCACGGCCGCTGCAGGAGCAGGAGGAGCGCATCAGCCGCAACCGCCAAACAGCCCGACAAAGCTCCCGCAGCGCGTCCTCGGCAAGCGCGACGCCGCACCCGCTCGCGACTCGAGCCACGGCAGCAGCAGCACGAGCTCGTCCGTGTCGTCGGCGGCGCCGGGCTCTCGCGCCGGGTCGGTCGCGTCGAGCGCAGGAGGGTTCGATCCGGCGAGCGCGGCCCCGCTTGCAGGCAAGATCGGCGGCCGCAACGTGCGGCGGCGGAGGAGCAGCATGGGCAGTCAGGAGACGGTCAATGCCGGTTGAGCTGCGGCGGACCTCGTCGCGAACGGGCGAGCGAGACGGAGCGACAGGCGGCCCGCTCGCTCGGGCCTCTTCTTCCCCTCTTTGATACCCTTTCTTTCCCTCTTAATGTTCTGTGCGCCCTAGTCTGTAGTCCGACTCGTCGAGGCTGTCTGTCTCTCTCTTCTTCCCTCTCCTCCCCCAGATCGCTGTCCCTCCCCTCCCTCTCTCCCTTCTTCGACTTCTCGCCTCGCCGTCTCGCCCCTGTTCTGCACAAAATTGATGTTGCGCAATCTCCCGAACTTCCGCGAGAGTCTGTCTCGCGCTCGACAAGCTCTGAGCGGTTGGCCCGGCCGCGAGTACTTTCTACAGTGCTCGCTCTCCTCGGCGGACAGGCGCGAAAGGAAAGACCCGATTGCAACTACGTCTCGCGACACAGTAAAAGCCCAGCTCGCTCCCTCATGCAGGCCCCGGCAGGCCGAGCGGCTTGCGGAGCCTGGCGGCGATCTCGAGGAAGCGCGTGTCGCTCTCGCAGGTGAGGAGGCCGTGGCGCATGAAGAAGTCGATGAGGACGCTGCGTACGAGCGCACCGAGGCAAGGGTCAGTGCTGCGCTTCGAAAATAGAGAGAGGGAGAGAGAGAGAGGACGCACAGGGCGCAGTTGGGCTTGAACTCGCCGTCGCACATGCGGCGGACCGTCTCGTCGAGCGAGAGCAGCTCGAAGCTCTCGACCTCGCCGTCGGCCGGATTCGTGCTCGGCTGCGTACCCTCGGCGGCATCTGCGCTGCCGGGAGCAGGCAGGCGCAGGTCGTAGACGTACTGGACCTCGGGCTGGAGGAAGCCGGCGGCGGTGCGGTAGTGGTACGTGAGGACGCCGGCCTGCTTGATGCGCGACGCGACGAACGCCGGCGAAAGCGAAGCCTCCTCGGCGCACTCGCGAATGATCGACATGCGCGGCGAGTCGCCCGCCGTGATGCCGCCGGCGACCGTGTTGTCGAGCATCGAGGGCCAGCTGCGTGCGAGCAGGTCGTCGAACGAGGTCAGGGTCTCGTCCTGCTCTCGGAAGGACAGGAGTAGAGAGACTCGAGGACGCACGTCGGCTTTGTCGCGCTGCGGCGTGGGACCCAGAGCTTGAGCGGCTCGCCCTCCTCCTCGACATAAGCTGCGGCGCGCAAGTCGAGCTCGTGAGTGCTGCTCGCTTGTCCGGGTCGATCGAGAAAGAGGTGAGAGAGAGAGAGACGCACCCGTGCAGTGGACGCCGAACGTCGCAAAGCCGAACAGGGCGCACGCCGACCGCTCCATGCGGAACGCCTCGTTCGAGCCCGTCGCGAGCGGGTTGTCGTCGCCCTCGGGCGAAGGAGGTGGCGGCGGTCCATAGATCGTGTAGAACTCGTCGCGCCATCCTGTGACGAGCGCAGGCAAGGGGGAGGACACAGAGAGTCAGTGTCAGAGGCGGGCGAGGAGAGAAACGGAGAGACGGCGACGCACCGCCGAGGCACTCGGGAAACATGCCGGCGTGCTTCCACCCTCGCACGATGCGGTCGAAATGCTCCCTGCGTGCGTCGGCGCCCTCGTCGTTGACCCAGTCCTCGAACCCGACCGCCCACGGGCCCGTCTCGGCGCTGTGGCCCATCGAGAGCGACCGCAAGCCCTCGAGGACCTCATCCATCGGGATACCCTGCTCGCCGTCGCTGCTGCCGCTAGCAGGCGCGGCGCTCGCGGCCGTGTTGGCCGTCACGCTCGAGCGACGGCTGCCCGGGCGCGACGACGAGTAGCTCGGGCGGCGCGCCGGCGGCGGGAACGAGATGGCCGGCTGGAACGACCACACGGGCTTGCAGTTCATGGCGACGAACTTGCGGTTGTCGTCGATGAGGGCGCGCACGATGTCGGGGCGCAGAAAGCCGATCGGCGGGGCGTCGACGGCCGCCGACGGGTCGGCGCGTGCGCGCACGAACGACGAGGTGGACGGCGTCGGGGACGAGGCGCGCAGGCGCGGCATCGGCGTGAGGCGAGAGAAGGAAGGGCGGCCCGACGCGGTCGACGAGCGTCGCCGGAGCGAGGCTCCGCTCGACGAGGCGGACGGCGCAGGTGGGGTCGGGAGGGTGAGGAAGAACGGGACGAGGAACTCCTTGTCGAAGGCGGCCGCGCCCTGGAGCTTGCCGACGCCATCGTCGCCGTCATCGTCGTCGTCGTCGTCGGCGAGGGCCGAGTCGCCGTGGGCGTCGGAGAGGTTCTCCTCGGCGAACGCGTTGCGCTGGTTGGCGAGGTGTTGCTCCCAGCGGCGCTTGCAGTCGGCGCCCGACCACGGCCCAGTCGGGAGCGAGACGTTGTCGCACTGGTCGACGAGGGGCAGGAGGGTGTAGGTGCCCGAGGGGAGAGGGAGGGTTGGCGGCGAGTCGAAGGAGAGGTACGAGTTGGCGTCGCCGTTCGAGGCTCGGTCGAGGTAGTCGGCTGGCGAGTCCATGTTCGAGCTGGAGGAACAAAGAGACGAGTCAGCTGGTGCACCAAGTCGAACGTGGCCTGGCGCGTGACGGTATGCTGTCGCTCCGAGTCGAGGAGGGGGACGAGGTAGAACCGTGGCCCCGGGTCGTGCGACGCTCCCGGTGTGCCCTGCCATCGACTGCAGCTCGTCATCGCGTCTGCCCGCCGCCGCGCAAGGGCTCGCGAGCCGTGCTGGCGACTCGAGCCGGTCCCGCTCCTCCCGGCCGACCGCGTTCGCGGTCGACGACGGCGGCCGCAGGACGCAATGCCGTAGCCCCGACCTGCCCCAGCCAGCTCGACTGAGCGACTTGTCCGTGCCCAACCTTGTCCGATGGTCGTGGCGAGGTGTGCGCGGTCGGGAGGGCTCGGAAGCTCGTGGTGGGGGAAGGTGCTCACGCCGGCGGACGACGCGAGAGGCTGGGGACGGGGGCGGTCGCGGGAGAGGACGACAGCTCACCAGGAAGGGTGCGTGGTGCGGAGCGCAGGGTTGATGCGAGGAGACGAGCCTGGAGCCGGCTTTCGACTCGGAGAAGACGTCGCGCGCACCTCTCGACAGCGAACCGGCAGCTTGTCGCACTGCCGAACCATAGTTGCACGCCGAGCCGCACCCACACCGCGCTACTGCCCTTCCCGTGCAGTCGTCCCCGCCACGACCCTCGTCGCCGGCAGCCCGAACGCCTGGTTCATCACGTCCACGTCGCCCGCCATGCTCCTCACCGTGCGCGAAACATGGTCCAACCCAGCCTGCTGGCTGCTCAGAATCTGCCGGACGAACGAGGCGTCAGTCGGCGGGTCGGCGGCCGAGAGAGAGAGAGAGAGAGAGAGAGAGAGAGAGACGCCGACGCACCTCGAGCACCCTCCGCAGGCCCTCCTCGTCGCTGACGGCCCACTCGACGCCCTCGCCCTCCTCCTTGCGCTTCTTGACGGCACCGACGCCGGCCCACAGCTCGCCCGCCTTGGCCCGCACCCGGTCCACCTCGCCCCTCGCGCGCTCGAGCTCGACCCGGAGCGCGTCTTCGTCGGCGCGCAAGCCGGCCGCACGCGCCGGTGACAGCGCCGCCGCCCGCGCGACGAGCGCCGTCAGGCGCGCGTGGAGCGCGACGGCCGTCTGCTGCGCGCGCAGCGTGCGCAGGCTCGTCGTGAGCGTGTGCGTCGACTGGAGCGACGCGAGGTGCGTGTGCAGCTCGCCGAGGAGCGCCGCGTGCTGCGCCGTGCGCGACGACTGGGCCGCGATGCGCTTCTCGAGCGCGGGGAAGCCGACGGCGAGTGCGGGGACGAGGCTGCGGGCGGCAGAAAAGGCGAGGGGGGAGGGGCAGGCAACGGTCGTCAGTGGTACGTTCGGTCGACGACGCTCGAAGTGGGCGCGCGCAGACGCGACACAGAGAGAAAAGGAGAGGAGACGGACCGCTCGGGCTCCGGGTTCTCTCTCCTCGCCTTGTCCCACCTCGCCTCGTCGGTGCCCGGCGCCGGGCGAGCGTACATGTCGCGCGAGTGGCCCTGGGGCAGCTCGTTGTAGAAGTAGGCCTGGAAGCGGCACTTGGGCGACTGCGGGTCCCACGCCGCCTTGAGGGCCTCGAGGCGCGACTCGATCGACGGCTCGTTGGGCGACGGCGGGAGCGGGTCGCCGAGGCGAGGGACGGGCGCCTGCTGCTGCTGATGCTGCTGCTGCTGCTGCTGCTGGGGCGGGCCCGAGGTCGACGCGCCGAACAGGCCGCCGCCGAGCGTCGACGAGGCGGGCTTGGAGCCGAACAGGGACGACGTGGCGGCCGACTGCGACTGGCCAAAGAGGCCCGTCGACGGCTGCTGCTGCTGCTGCTGCTGCTGCTGCTGCTGCGGCTGCTGCTGGCCAAAGAGCCCGCCCGACGCCGGTGCGCCACTCGACGCACCAAAGAGGCCGCCGGCTGGCGGTGCGGCGCTGGTGCCAAACAGGCCGCCGCTCGCGGGCGCGGCGCTCGACTGGCCGAAGAGGCCGCCGGTCGGGGCCGGCGTCGTCGTGCTGCCGAACAGGCCCATGCCGGGGGGCTTTGGCGCCGTGCTGCCGAACAGGGACGGCGCGGCACCGGGCTGCGACGCGGCGGGCTGGCCAAAGAGCGAGGTGGTCGGCGCCTGCGAGGTCGGTGCCTGACCAAAGAGCGAGGGCGCGGAAGTGGGCTGGGACGCTGCGCCGAAGAGGGAAGGGGTGGCGGCGGGCTGGGAGGCGGCCGGTGCGCCGCCGAAGAGGGAAGAGGTTGGGGCGGTTGAGGCGGGTGGTGCGCCGAAGCCTGTGAGGGAGGGGGGCGGGTGGGTCAGGAGGGGTCGCCATGCACACCCGGAGAGACAGGAAGGTGTCGAGAACGTACTGAAGCCGGTTGAGGCGGGTTTGGCGGCAGGTGCGCCTGTGGTGCGAGGAGGAGGAGCAAGGGGCCGAGGTCAGTAACAGGGGGCGCGGGCTGGGCGGCGAGAGCGGGAGCTCACCGAAGGAGAAGGACATGTCGAAGTGGGCGCGCGCAGTCTGCAATAGGGACGGGAGCAAGCGTGAGCGACGAGGTACCAGCAGAGGCGAGGTCGCCCGTGATGGTGGCCGGTCGGGGGACCATTCGGGGCGAGGCTGAGGCGGTGGCCGGCACCCTGGACCGTCCCATAGACAGGCCCACGCGCTCACGCATCCCTCTGAGCGGCGAGGCGCGAGGTCGAGGTGGGCCGATGAGGGGTGACGGCGGGGGACCTCGTCACGCACGCTCTCGCCGCGGGACGACCTGCTCCGACTCGCCACCCGCACGAATGCCCTGCTCCAGCACACCCACAGCCGTGCAACTCGCTCAGAGCGCGCCGTCGTCGCGGGCCGGGTCGCTCAACGGGGAGGAGGGGGACAGGAGGGAGCGCGGACGCACCGATGAAGCCAGTTGGACGTGCAGGAGGGTTGTCGAGGTCGTCCAGGCACTTGGGAGCGGTCGCTGGTGGTCTCGAGCGAGGCGAGGGCGAGAGGTGCGAGTTGGCTTGGTCGAGCTTCGTCTCGTGCCGACTCTCTCGTCTCGTCCTCGTCGTCACCAGCCTCGGTGCAGCTCGTACGACCGCCAGTCACCCTTCTCGGATCTCTGCCGTCACACACGTCCCTGTCTCGACCGATCCCGTCCGGTCGTCGGCAAGCGCTCCTCGTCCTCGACTTCATCTCTCGTCGCCATGTTCGTCCCCTCTCTCGCCCCTGATCCTGCGCAAACGTGTCCTGACGAACCTTACTCTCCAGGCCCAAGTCCTCCAAGCACAAGAAGGAGCGCAAGGCCGACTTCACCGTACGTCCTCGCTCCCTCCTCAGCCTCTCGCGGCCACAAGCTGACCCTCGCCCCCCGGCACTCGCCTGCAGAAAGCCAAGCTCAAGCTCGGCAAGGGCAAGGCCGTCGCACAGAACGCCACCAACACGTCGTTCGCCGCAAAGTCGATCGCGCTCCCCTCGCAGTCGCTCGCCGCAACCTCGAAAGGCGCACCCGTCTCGCGCCGCAACCTCACCCTCCCCGAGCTCCTCGTCCACTCGCGCCACTACTCGGTCCCCGTCAAGCGCGAGGCCCTCCACGAGATCGGCCAACTCGTCGAGCAGCACCCGTTCCTCCTCTCCCAGCACCTCCTCCCGCTCGTCACGTCCCTGTCGCACCTCGTCGGCGACCCGTCGGCCTCGGTGCGCGCCGCCGTGCGCACCCTCCTGTCGACCGTCGCCGATCAGCTCCCGCACGCGAGCTTCGTCAGCGTCTCGCCCGCCGTCGTCCTCTTCACCCTCTCGGCCCTGTCGTCGCTCGACGACCCGGTCCGCATCGACGCCCTCTCGACCCTCGACCTCCTCCTGTCGCACATCCCCGCCGAGCTCACGCGCGGCTTTGACCCGTACCGCCCGACCGTCGACGTCGCCGAGGACGCCCCGACCGGCACCAAGGTCGTCGCCGCCCTCCTCGGCCTCCTCAAGATCCGCTCGGCCGCGCTCGCCGCAGCGAGTGGAACTTTTACGGCGGCAAGCGCCGCGTCCGACCTGAGCCCGCCGGCCCGGCTCGCCGTCCTAAAGACGCTCGCGCGCTTCCTCGCCGCCGCCGAGCGTCGCGCCGACTCGGCAGCCGACGGGCCCGACGGCGGCGGCGGCGGCGGCGGCGGCGACGAGCCGTGGTTCCTCGCTGGCGCGTTCGACTCGCCCGAGGCGTACGCCGACTGGCTCGCCGGCGTCCAGCCCCGCCCCAGGGTGCGGGTCGTCCCCGTCGTGCCGGCGCCTGCGTCCGGGTCGGCGACGAGCGCCGCCGTCGAGCACTTTGACGCCGCGTTCAGCGCTCTCGGCGCAGAGCAAGGCGTCCTCGGGCCCGTCGGCCTGTTTGGGCTCCTGACGCCACCTGCGTCGCCCGCACCCACCGCGGCAGCCTCGACCTCGACCGCCGTCCCAGCAAACGCCAACGGCCAGCAGCAGCCGACCCTCCTCCAGCTCCTTCACCCGACCATCCTCTCGTCCTTCCTCGACTCGGCGCCCACCGCGTTCGCGCCCTCGCTCGTCGCCGTCCAAGCCTCGGGCTCGAGCGCGACCCTCCACGCCGACACGGTGCACGCCGTCCTGAGCGTCTCGAGGGCCCTCTTTGCGCGAGAGCTCGGCGTCGCAGCCGGCTCGAGTGTCGGCGCGGGCGCAGCCGAGGGCGTGCAGGCGAGCGCGAGGGGCAAGCGGGACGCGCGCAAGATGCTCCTCGCCCTCCTGGGCCACGCGGCGCCCTACTTCCCCTTTGGCGGCGACGCGCTCGTGTCGCCGGCTGCGTCCGGGTCGGCGGGCAGTCGTGCCGAGGCGGCCGCCAAGGAGGAGCGGTGGATGGAGCTCAACCTCGCTTTCGCCGAGCTGAGCTCGCTGCTCGTCCTGTCGACGAGCGCGAGCGCGGCCGAGGAGAGGGGCCTGCGGGGCGGCGCCAAGGGCAAGGGCAAGGGCAAGGGCAAGAAGGCGGGCAAGGTGGCGGCGGCCGAGTCGTCGAGGGACAAGGTCGAGGACGTCGTGCTCGAGCGGGTTCAGGAGTGGGTCGTGCAGGCTCTGCGAGGCGAGGTGCGTCCTCTCTCACCCATCCCCTCCGCCCGGCGTCTCCTCGAATGTCGAGATTGACGTCTCCTGCCCTGCGCAGCTCACCTCGCCGTCGCACCCGCTCGGTCTCGCTCTGCCCGCACGAGCCTTCTCGTCGCTTCGACCGACGCTGTGGTCCCTCCTCAACCAGCCGTCGGCCGCACAAGCCGGCGACGTCTTTGCGGCCATCGTCGACTACTTTGCGCGAGCGAGTGCGGCTGGTGGCGGCGAGGCCAAGAAGGCGAGCGGCGAGTTTGTCGCGTGGGCCGTCCTCGTGCGTCCCGTCCCGCCTTCTCCTTCTCGATCCCGGCCGACCACCACCTGACTCGTCGCCTCTCACGTGTGTCCAGATCCACTCGTGCCCGTCGTACCTCGCGCCATTCAGCCTGTCGGCCCTCGCGTCGCAGCTTGCGGGCCTGTCGCCGCGAGAGCAGTCGGCAAACGCGCTCAGCAAGTGGCTTGCGCAGCTGCCGAGGTGGCTGTGGGAGCTCGGCACGCAGCGGGAGGCAGAGACCGAGGTGCGCTCCCTGTTTCTCTGCGTGTGCCTCGCGCCGAGCGGGAGACTGACTGCGGCGAGTCCGCCCGCAGATGGTCGTCACGACGCTCCTCAAGCTCGTGCAGCAGGCGCCCAAAGGCCTCTTTCCTTCGACGGTGCGTCTCCCTCTTTCTCTCGGTGCGCTCTCCTCGAGGCGTGAGCTCACATGTCTCGTCGCGCCCGCCGTCCCGCAGACCCTCGTCGGCCTCGCACCGACGCTCGGCCCTTTCTTCCACCTGTCGCACCCGTCTCGAGGGTCGATGCCCGGACCTTTTACCAAGCTGTCGCCGAGCGTGCAGGCGCGTGCGCTCGACCTCGCGGCGTTGCTCGTTGGGCTCGACGGCGTTGACGGCGAGGCGACCAAGCCGTTGCGCGGGGCAGTCGGGCGAGCGGTGCGGACCAAGGGCGTCGAGGAAGGGGTGCGGATCAGGTGGCAGGGACTCGGGCTGTAGAGCGGCTCGGAACGGACGATGCTCGAGTGGGCGGATTGCTTGTGATTGCCGTGCCGCGAGCGAGGGAGGGAGGCCAGGTCGCGCTTCCTTGTGGTCATCGGTGGTCGGATCAGACGTGTGTGCAACATGGCAGCCTGCAAGCCCTTCCCAGGCTCCTGCCGTGCCTCGAGAGAGCTGGGCGAGAGCTGTCCGGCGTCTCGTCGCCGGACCCTCTGCGCCGGGCGGTGTCACCTCTCACGGCCTCGCTTTCCAGCAACACCTGTGAGCCGCACGACCGGCTCGTCGAGCTCGAGCATGACCTCGATCAGCTCGTACAGCACGCGCTCGCGCCCACCACCGCACCCGCTCTCTGCCCACCCGGCCTGGATCCACGCGTCCGTCTCTCGTCCTCGCCATCCCTCGTCGCGCCAGGCACTGATCAGGCCGATGCTCTCCACAGGCGATTCGAGCGCGCAGTCGACATCATTCAGAGGTGCGTCCACCCTGTCCCGCCTTGTCGTCGTCCTCCCTCCCCCACCTCGCCTCGCCCTTGGCCGTCGCGCCGCACGCGAGCAGTCGCTCATGCTCTTGCACCCTCGTAGCCTGCCCAAGAGTGGCCCGATCCAGACCAGCTACGACCAGAAGCTCGAGCTGTATGCGTGCGTCGGCCTCCTTCCCCTCCTCGCCTGTCCGTGTCTCCCTCCTCCAGCCTGCGCATCCGCTGACCTTCCCTCATCGGCACCCTACAGCGTCTACAAGCAGGGTGAGTCCACCCTCTCGCGAGTACAGACGGCGCATGTCGGCTCACTCTCTGTCCACGCGCAACAGCTACCGAGGGCGACATTCGCGGCTCGCGCCCTGGCCTCCTCGACATCCTCGGACGGGCAAAGTGGTGCGTCCCTCTGTTCACTCTCTGCATTGCGAGATCGCCTCTTGATGCGCCGAAGCTGACTCGGACCCTCACTCTCGCAGGGACGCGTGGAACAAGCGCAAGGGCATGAGCCAGCTCGAGGCCGAGCGACTCTACGTCGACGCGTTGATCAAGGTGCGTCGCTCCCGCACTACGGTCTCATCGGTGCGAGGACAAGAGATCTGACCCGGGCGTCGCGGTCAAGCAGATCCTGCGCAGCTTCTCGAGCCGTCCTCTTGCCGTCGAGCTTCTTCACGAGCTCGAGGACTTTGACCTCGACCCGCCTCTCCGAGGTCCGACCGGTGCGTTCAAGATCTCTCAGATCGACTCGCGTCTCCCTATGCGGGTCGGCTGTCCGGCGACACGAGCCGAACCTGTACTGACTCCTCCCGTTGCAGGATCTGCTCTGCGCCCTCGTTCCGACTCGACCAGCTCCTCCACCTCGTCCTCGACGGCCTCGTACGACGCTCGCGACCGACGCTCCATGCCCCCTCCTGCGCCAGTACACGCCTCGGCGCACTCGGCTGCCCGGTCGTCTCGCTCGCACCGAGCACCTCCCCCATCTTCCGCCGTCGCCCCGCCTCTGCCCGGCTACGGCCCACCTCGCACTCGCGCCGACGCCGTCCGTACGCCTATTCGGCGAGAACAGCGACCGCCGTCTGAGCGCTCGTACTCGTCGAGCTCGTCGGCGCCTCGGGGCGAGGACGAGTTCCACCCGGCGGTCGGCAGCGTCCCACCCTCGGTGCGCTCGCACGCGCCCCGGTCCGCCGTGACCTCCCGTGTCGGTCCGCCTCGGAGCGTCGCCCGCTCGTCGGTCGCCGGCGTCGGGCCCCTGCCGCTCACGGCCGGCAACCTGCGCGCCGTCTCGTCGCGCCCGTCGTCGTCGCCCCGATGC